GTCAATCTCGATCGAATTCACAAAGTATTCTCAGAATTTCCCCTTTTCTGTTCTTGCGCGAGGCGACCGAAGTGGTGTGTGTTGCTGTGCGGTAGTTGTGCGATAGGGATGATAAAACAGTACTCTCCCTTTGATTAACTGATAGAATTTCTGATCTTTCTCCACACTCTCAAACTCTGAATTTTATCTCTCTGAAGCTTAAGAAAATAAAATGGAGGAAAGAAAGAAACTGTTCGGTCTCTACCCTCTCTCTCTATGCTGAAACCGAAAGAAAATAAAGGAAATTGTGGCTTCTCTTTTTTTTTTTTACACTTGCTACACTATTAGTCAATTAAGGATGACTAAGTTGCTCATTTTAATGCCACGTTTCAAAGTTAAAATATGAGAAATAATTTGGTTTGAATAGGAAAAATGACTTTCGGTAATTTCGGAGAAATTGTTCTAAAAAAAACACGATTAATTACCAAAGGGTGATTAATTAATAATTAATCACTAATACATGTTTAATTATTCAATTAAACATATTACGTAATTACCAAAATTATTCCGAACGTAAACGATACGTCGAAAATAGATTTCGGTAATCTCGACTGAAATGACTGAAAATAACTAATTCCGAAAATAATAATCAACAATGTTATTATATCGGAACTAAAAACATGATTTATATAAATAAACTGAATGACTTGCTCATTAATACCTTAAGCATGATTATCCTTTAATTAATTCTCCTTAATGTTAATTAATCTTAATTAACATTAAGCTAAGCATGATTATCTTAAGCTAATTTTGATTAATTAGCTTAAACATAATTAAGTTAATTAAGTAAAGGCTAATGACCATTACTTAATTAACGATGGACGGTGTACCACTGTGAACGCGTCACAGTATAGGTATACCGAATTTGACATGAGGAACTCTAACTGGTTTAATTATCGGAATATTATTCCGAACATGAACCTGACATTCGAAAATTAATTCGAATATTCTTAACTTAGACGATTAATTCGAACATTAATATTTCAAATAGTTCGTCAACTTGGCTTATTAATTCCAGACTCATTAACTAAGTAAATGAATCGGAATTAATATCTGAAAACTTATTCGGTTATCCAACCGAATAACATATCGACTAATAGTCGAACTTGGAGTATAACTGACTGAATCACTGGAACTTGAACATGACACTGATTATTTATTAACAAAGGCTAGCTTAACATTAAAAGCTAGTATTTTCCTTTATTAATAAAATACGGGGTGTTACACTGTGTCAACGAACACTCGTTGCACCTCATAACCTGCTACTTGAGTTGTTATCATTAGGGTGTCGTTATATGGTCTCTCAACCTCTCCAACATCTGCGGGTCCAAAGTTCATCACTGGCCTATTCTCATGGACTTGTTGCACTTCGACTTTGGCATGTTGGCTCCTTACATACGCCTTTCTCGCTCGATTTAAGTTCCCATCCATTGGTCCTCCAAATATCATATGAATTACTTCTCTTTTTCGGGGCAGTTCTTCCTTCTCAGGCGATCTCGCCATCTT